AACACGCTTAAAACATGCAGCGTTTTGACTTCAAAGCGGCGCAGCTTGAGCTGCGTTTCAGCACAGCTGATAAACTGTTACTTTTCTTCATGCCAACATGTAAAAAACAATCTTTACACGAAATACACAGTCATTTATGAGCACGTAACGGGCCACCAATATGTAGTATGTCATATGCTGGATATTTCATACAATTTTCACGAGTTCCTCATCTTTCTGACTGTGTAAATGTCGTGCATTGAGTTTAACAAAAATGTAACGAGAGACGTTTTTATCTTTGACCCATCAAATGAATGCGGTCATTTATTTTCAGAATCAAAGTTTAACATCAAACATTTACATTAATTTGGCAAAATATGAAAACAATAACAGACAAGTTTCACAGATAGTGGACGTCAATCACACGGTGGTGATTGAGGACTTTGCTTCAGATATTTCTAAAATATCTGTACTGATTTTAGGAGAAAGGAGAGTTTAAGATGAAAATGGAGATTTATCTTACAGAGAGATGTGTGAGGGAATTAATCTGTTTGACCAGAAACGTGCACGCTCCTTCAGATCTCAGCTTGCGACGGTACGCTTGGTCGAAGTAGAAACTGTTACCTGGTTGATGATAGATCAGCGTCGGTATAGGATCCTTCCTTGACTCTTTCAGCGTCTCCGTTGAGAGCAGCTGAAATCCTTAGAGAGTCGTGCGAGGTTATCCAAACAGAAGTTATAATTCCCCAAAATCGTCTCTGCATCTGGATCCTTTAACTCTCTTCATGAGTTAAACTCTGGAACTCTCCTCCACCAACTGCAACCACTCTTTTCACTCTAGACTCCTTAGCTCCTAGAGCTCTGTTACACTCTTACACTTTAACTCCATCACTCTTCAGCACTCTGCTGAGAACCGGGAAGTTGCCACATTTTAAATGAGTTGACTTCCGGGTCAATTTAGAGCTTTCTGATTCGTGGATGGATCAGAATAGAGGTGTGGTTTGTGACGTAAGATGTTATCAAAGTCAAGGGCAGAGAATGAGATTGTTTAACAGACAGAAAAGATTATTGGAGAAAAACCAGACTTCGTGGAGTCAAACTCCTATTATCTTCTGAAAAAGTTTAAACATTACATTTCTTCTCAGTAAACATTTTAGTTGACCGAGACTCGACCTTTAACATACTTACAAAACTTGCTCATTGAAGACGGAAAAATCAAGAAATGCATATTAACCTGATTTCTTCTTTGAATGAGGAATAAAAATCATTACTTACTGTTTATGTAAAATAAAAATGAGTAGTTCTCTTCAACCTGTAAGCATTGAGTGAACTAACACAATTTGATTATCAAACATTTGTAAAATAGTAATGATCATAGAGGATTGTCTTTTTTACTTGATTAATTCAAGAAAGAAAGTCTCCAGATGGCTCAAACTGTATTTCTGGATGCAGATCAATGAAATAACAGTTGCTGTCCATCTGATCAGATTTGACTTGAGATTAGGTTCACTACAGTCCCCCCTTTGGAAATCATCGCCTGTCCATGGGGATGAATTCCAACCGTGAACTTACATCTTCAAGTGTCCTTGAGCTTGATGTAATCCAGCAAGGAAGACCAAAGTCAAAAGTAATCCAGCAAGGAAGACCAAAGTCAGAAGTAATCCAGCAAGGAAAACAAAGTCAAGGTAATTCCACAATGTTCAAGGTAATTCCATTGTGTTGATTATAATTCCATAATGTTGTTGGTAATTC